AGATCAGTCCAAATTAAATATCTTCGAGTTGATTCACACAGGAATTCAAGCTGGACAAGTAGAATATTGTCCGAGTGTTCAAAAACAGCAGAAACGGTTTTCGGCGAAATAACGAGAGTCCACTCAAAAGTGAATATTTCAACTTAATTCGTACAGAAACTGAAACTTTACATATTGTAGATAAATTTACAAGTTGTCCAAGTATTCGGAAGCGGTATTAACGCTTTCCGGCGATATAACGCGAGTCTGCCCAAAAGTAAATTGTACGAGTTAATTTGTACAGGAACTGCAACTTGACAAATTGTACACGTTGTCCAGGCAATTTGATGACATTAGCAGCTATCGGCGATATAACGCGAGTCCACCCAAAATTAAATTTCATGAGTTAATTCGCACATTAACTGCAACTTGATAAACGGAACACGTTGTCCAGGTAATTGGATGGCTTTAGCAACCACCGGCAATATAACGCGAGACCACTTTAAAGCAAATACCGAGCACAAAGCGAAATTTTCTGCGGCGTTCGCGAACAGACCACGCTTTCGTTTATTGGCGAAAGGTCACCGAATGGCGGTGAGCCCGTGTAAAAATTAACTCTCCTCGTATTTAAAATTGGAAAACAACTTTTTCTCGGCCGTTTAACGAGGCAGCCGAGTTTCGAAACTCGCGTGTTTGCGTTCACCGCGAAACACGTACAGAAAGTTTCGATTAAAAGCAGAATTTAGTTTCTTCCGGCGAGAATTAAAATATCGAACGATTAGTTCGAGTGCTCGATTAGGCAACAGCAAAAAGTTGACGAAACAAGTGGCTTTCCTTTCATCTCGACAGAGATAAGAACGCAGTTTAAGCTCTCGTCGAACATTAACGTCGTTCAGGGAGACAGGAAATTTCCTTTCAACGATCGAACCGGATCGCGCTTCGATGAAATATCCGGCCAATTAATCGACATCGACTCCCTGATTTTCATTCGATGGAAAACTACCATCTTCGAGAAAATCGCTGCCACGTCGTTGCGTACCAAATGGGCCAATTTCGAATCGTATAAAGTCCACTAGAATTTCATAACAGAAAAGTACCCTGCTTGTGACATATCAATTCGCTTAACGTTTCACGAGACTGCGTAGACCGGCGACGTTAACCCCTTGCCCTATATCGTGACGCACTCATATGCAAAACCAGAATCGTATTTCCACCACGTAATTTATGTTCGATTTTAATTATAACCGAATCATACCTTTTCCTTCGCAATGTACCCGCGAATGACGTAAGTGCCTCGCAAGTTGTAGGTTGATACAAAATGGCTGATTAGTCCGGCAATAAAGTATTCCAGCGGCGCGTTATTAAACAGGTAATTCTCGAGGAGAAAACGTTTCCGAAAGCTCCCTACGTTTTACAAGCGCTGTAAACGGGTTAATGGCCGGTTAGCCAGTTACTTAAAACGCGGACACTCCCTAAGTGTGTCGCCGGCAATTTCTTTATTTTTCCTTGTCGTTTTTCGTCTTTTCTTCCCGGTTTTTTTCCCCAGCTTTTTTGGCCGTCGTCGAAAAACATACGTGGTACGTGACTGCGGCTCCCACCGCCAGTTAATTCATTCGCGGCACCTTTGAATTGAGAACGTAACAACCTGTGCACGAGCACCCCAACACGAGTGTGAACAAGAGAGCGAAAGTAGCACCGTTAACGTTCTTCCAGTGTGCCTTTAACAACACTGCAATTCATTAACATACCGCTTCACTAATTATTTCAAACTTCAGCCATTTATCGTTTATCGCCAGAATTCACGCGTCGGCGTGATTCACGATCGGATATCGCTGCTAGCAGCCGGTACCTACGAGCTTACACCGAAATAAACTCGATATCGACATTTTTCGAACGATGCACACGAATGACTTCTGTTCGACTCTTTGACTAAAAAAAAATCGCGAGGAAATGTACATCTATCGATTTTAACCACGATGAAGAGTTATGTCTGAAATTATTTGACTGTCACACGCATCGTGAGTGCGTCACGTGTGCGTCATATGTGCATCGTGGGTGGGTCACGAATGCGGCATTTCCGTGATGGATGCGTCACGAGTGCGTCATATCCACCGTGGGTGCGTCGCGAGTGCGTCATGTCCGTGATGGGTGCGTCACGAGTGCGTCATATTCACCGCGGGTGCGTCGCGAGTGCGTCGCGTCCGTGATGGGTGCGTCACTAGTGCGTCACGTCCGTGATGGGTGCGTCACAAGTGCGTCATATCCACCTTGGGTGCGTCACGAGTGCGTCATATCCACCTTGGGTGCGTCACGAGTGCGTCATATCCGCCTTGGGTGCGTCACGAGTGCGTCATATCCGCCTTGGGTGCGTCACGAGTGCGTCATATCCGCCTTGGGTGCGTCACGAGTGCGTCATATCCGCCTTGGGTGCGTCACGAGTGCGTCATATCCGCCTTGGGTGCGTCACGAGTGCGTCATATCCGCCTTGGGTGCGTCACGAGTGCGTCATATCCGCCTTGGGTGCGTCACGAGTGCGTCATATCCGCCTTGGGTGCGTCACGAGTGCGTCATATCCGCCTTGGGTGCGTCACGAGTGCGTCATATCCGCCTTGGGTGCGTCACGAGTGCGTCATATCCGCCTTGGGTGCGTCACGAGTGCGTCATATCCGCCTTGGGTGCGTCACGAGTGCGTCATATCCGCCTTGGGTGCGTCACGAGTGCGTCATATCCGCCTTGGGTGCGTCACGAGTGCGTCATATCCGCCTTGGGTGCGTCACGAGTGCGTCATATCCGCCTTGGGTGCGTCACGAGTGCGTCATATCCGCCTTGGGCGCGTCACGAGTGCGTCATATCCGCCTTGGGTGCGTCACGAGTGCGTCATATCCGCCTTGGGTGCGTCACGAGTGCGTCATATCCGCCTTGGGCGCGTCACGAGTGCGTCATATCCGCCTTGGGTGCGTCACGAGTGCGTCATATCCGCCTTGGGTGCGTCACGAGTGCGTCATATCCGCCTTGGGCGCGTCACGAGTGCGTCATATCCGCCTTGGGTGCGTCACGAGTGCGTCATATCCGCCTTGGGTGCGTCACGAGTGCGTCATATCCGCCTTGGGCGCGTCACGAGTGCGTCATATCCGCCTTGGGTGCGTCACGAGTGCGTCATATCCGCCTTGGGTGCGTCACGAGTGCGTCATATCCGCCTTGGGCGCGTCACGAGTGCGTCATATCCGCCTTGGGTGCGTCACGAGTGCGTCATATCCGCCTTGGGTGCGTCACGAGTGCGTCATATCCGCCTTGGGCGCGTCACGAGTGCGTCATATCCGCCTTGGGTGCGTCACGAGTGCGTCATATCCGCCTTGGGTGCGTCACGAGTGCGTCATATCCGCCTTGGGCGCGTCACGAGTGCGTCATATCCGCCTTGGGTGCGTCACGAGTGCGTCATATCCGCCTTGGGTGCGTCACGAGTGCGTCATATCCGCCTTGGGCGCGTCACGAGTGCGTCATATCCGCCTTATCACGTCCGCGATGGGTGCGTCACGAGTGCGTCACATGCATCGTGTGTGCGTCACGGGCGCGTCATGCCCCCTTATGAGTGCGTCACGGGTGCGTCATGTCCGTCGCGGATGCGTCACGAGTGCGTCATGATTGCATCGTGGGTGCATCACGAGTGTGTCACGTGATATTATAAGGCAAGTGATCGTCACTGCGGTCTCACTGTTACACACCGCACGTGTAACATCACGCATTAAGTGAACCCTAGATAACTAAACTTAAATCATTGAAAAGTCGAACGAAATTGATAAGAGCCGTGTGACGAGACTCGTGAAAATGGCGCAAGGGTTTAAGACGCGTTCGAACGTCCTTAAACGTCGAAAGTTTCCAGACTCAGATTAATCCAAGGTTCCCAAAGCTTCCCTACATTCCGGTTAATCGATTCGAAAGCTTTTGTTCTCGCGTTCGAAGCGTCTGTTTGTTAATCATCGTGTGTGCCGCCATTGAAACTGCAACCGACTCCGCGATACAGATTCGAGGTAAATCGTGTCACGCTATTGCGGCGGTTCATCAAAAATGTAACGGGTTAATACACTGCGACGAGAATATTTGCTCTTTTTTCGACCAGTTAAACGTTTATCGAGCTCCTTCAGCCTCGAATAATCGATTCGGTCTCGTTTGAAAAGCCAGCTATCGCGGATTCGTTGTAACGGATCCTTCCAAGGAGAGTTCGCGGTACTCCACTTTCCGACAGCCTCCACAGTTTCGCCGGATACGTCGAAAACTACGGAAGAGGCAACTTTGGAAACGTTGAAAGGTAAATCGCGCGAAAAAGTTTGGTCGCGAAGTCGGACGAGACATTACTCGTAGCTTGCTGTAAATTTAACTTCTTTGGTTAATCACTTAGCGTCATGTCACGGGTGTCTCTCTGGACTATAGTTTCATCCTAAATTACATTGTGGCTCACTCAGTACCATTAGAATCAAATGGCCTTCATATATTTGATTCACACTTTTCTACCTTCACCACGTTTCAAAGATAAGTTTAGACACCATAGTATAATTATCCCAGAGGTACCGCTAGAGTCCCTCTGTGTGGAGGGAATACTAAGAGATCTATGAGAAATGTGTAAGAAAGGGAGATGATGTGGCGGTTTCACTGCTACGCCACTAGGCGGCGCACGGAGACTCGACTTTCTCGCTAGTACTCGCCTTTGTATTCATACAAATAGTTCCACCTAAGGCAAGGGCCTAAGATGCCTTAGTTCACTAGCAGGTCCGAACGAATCAGCTAGTAATATATCACGGTCATCGGTAATAATCTGGTTACGAGCGCAACTTTTATCTGCGCGGTTACATAAAGTTATTAGTTTGACCTAGTTGAGAGAGAGCACGCACTAAAATGCCATGAATTCCCACAAAAGCTCTCGGAATCAATCCCTCCCCGAGTAGAATCCACAGGGACTCGGCATTATATTCGAATGATCGATTGATCGGAAAACGAAACCAATGAAGGTACATAGTAGGACTCACGTTGACTGCTGCTACGACGTATGATGTTTTCGAGGAATGTGTTTTGCGGGGCGACCAGGCCCCTGCGCCCCCCTGGCATCCTTTCTCCGTTGGATGATCCCGGATCCTGGTCGCTGCGGCTATCAGGACCTCGGCCAACCTCTGGCTACTATCTCTGGTTCCGGCGACATGTCAGTCCGAGTAGGCCTCGTATTGCACTCGCGACACTCCGCTAACCGAACGGCATGAACGGCGGGTTCACCATTGTGTATAGAATCACCTGTTTGACGCTGGAATCGTTCCAAAGGAGCACCTCGGTTCACACGATCACCCGATTGTCCCGGACACGTCCCGCTTCTCGTTACTCCGGAGTTGTCTCTGTCACCTGAACGCAGGTCTCCAGCTCGCGACGCCTGCCAACGCGTTCGACGACCCCGGGTCAATGGTTCTGGAACGGCTGGATCCTTTATCGAGGCACCGACCACCTTGACGATGGGCTCGCGGAAGTGTCCTCGGCTGGTGGACCGATCGATGACCCATCTAACCGCAGTCCTTCCAGGTGATCGCGCGCGCTATCGTTGAGACCCGACGGCAAGTAATTAGACGACTGCGCGCTACCTGCCACGTCGTTCTCCACATCCTCGGCGTCCTCCTCGGCGTCGGTGCAGCTGGTGCCCGCGGAGGAGGACATCCCTTAGACAGGGGAACGCGACCGTAGAGTAAGCCTCGATCACATACTCGTCCCCGAAACCGATTCTGCTGCCGATGCGGACGCCAACCGATCGCAGGACCAACCAGATGGGCCTTCAACGTTGACACGCGATGGAATCTACGCCCTTGCGGATCGACGATTGCTGTAACACACAATATTTCTTTTGTTATTATTTGCAATCTGATTAGGGGTGTATGAAGGGATGTAATGATGTACAGTTATGTCGTGTAAATATTTGTGGCGGTTACGCTCTTCGCCGCTAGGCGGCGCATCGAGACGACTTTCTCGCTAGTGCTAGCCTTTCTATTCATACAAACAGTTCTATTCCTTCCATAACCGCTAAGGGAAGTCCTGAAAACGTTCTTTCCCTCTCTATTTCTCCTAGCCCTTCTATCCAGACAAAATTGACAAAATGTTATAAGTTCATGTGCAGTAGCTTTTAGACAAAAATTGAAAAATAAAGTACATAAATTTATACAATTCTTCATCTTGGAAGGTTATATACACATTTATAAAGGCATCTTAATAATTTCTAGCGTCGTAATAATTAAAAAGAAGGGTTCTAAAAAAAAAAATCGCAGGAAAAATGACAAAAGGGATCAAATGAAAATTGTTTCCTTTTCTGAGCGCTTTGATTTTCCGCCGCAGTCGCCACTTTATGAAACGCGCCTCGTAATAACCTCTGTTTTAAAATGGACCGTGATGTTTTAAGCAGAAATATCATTCTTTCACTTATAATAAACGCGCGTAATTTGAAAATGTAGAAGAATGAAGAATGTAGGTAGAATTAGCAAATTGTATAATGGAAGGGATTGTAACGAACGTTTCGAATATCGCACGGGAAGAAGACGATCTCGAGTAATTAGCGTTAACAATGACTGCAGGAGGACGCTCCATTGCGGATTCGATAACTCGAAGGTATCGCGGTAATTTTCATCAATTCGGCCGATTTAATTTTAGCCTGGAATTTCCAGGCTCGCGATGCTCGGTATTCGAGGAGGCGGGGGATCGGATCGATTCGAGTGCTCGCACTCG